CTTGTACATATCGTTCTGAAAGTTATGTAATGGTTGAATTGAGAATTTTAGGAGAGATTTTTGTATTCCTCCTCTCTTGTACATATCGTTCTGAAAGTTATGTAATGGTTGAATTGAGAATTTTAGCAGACATTTTTGTATTCCTCCTCTCTTGTACATATCGTTCTGAAAGTTATGTAATGGTTGAATTAAGAATTTTAACAGATATTTTTGTATTCCTCCTCTCTTGTATGAGGGCGTGTTAAATGTCCTGTTAACTTCGTATTTAGCCCCCCTGCGGCAAGTCTGAAACTGGGTTTCAACTTTCGTGGTGGAACAGTACAGATAGCCCATTGTGTATCTTTGTGCTTAACTACAAACTAGCCATACTAACCAACCAAGTTAAATAATTCACGAAACAATAAGTAGTTGGAGTTTGTATTGAGACAAATTGATATGTTTGAAATCTTTTGAACTGACTGTATTCTTGAATAATGAAGTATATCAGGAATGTTAAGAAAATGGATAATAGTTAGCTGCGATATTTCGCCGCAATATCTTTAACTTTTTCAATTTTGATTTTCTAAAGAAGTTTTGGTGCTGACTTTTGAAGGAAACCTTCATTTCTGCGAACAAAAACTGAATTTCTCTTATATTGCTGTTTTTTAAAATATCAAACTGATCACTTTAAGGATTTGTTTGTTTTGTTTTTTCTGTTTAAGTGCAAACTTTACAATAGACTATCTGCACTGTACCCATCGCAGGTATCAATACCCATTTTTAGCCTAATAAGCCATCAAACTTAACGCTAAGCTACTGGAGAGCCACTTTGAAGAATATTTCTTACTTAATATTTATGGGGTTTATGAGTTATTTTCAACCCACTATATAATAACCTAAATTAATTTAGATGCGTAAGTAATATAATGGCATTATGCCCAACTTAATATTCGATATTATACAGCAGGCCAAATGTTTCATCATTGTAGTGCAGATTTTTTTATTTTCACCAAAAGTAAAATTGAAAAGATAATCTTTAACGTAGAGGCCTAATGCATTTTTTTACGTGGCGCATCCTCTGCTGTAGACCATAGGTTCATCTATTCAAGGTTTATCAGCACAGCTTGGGTCAGCAAACCAAAGGAATACAGTTAGGCCTTTTATAATAGTGACAAACAGATAATATTTTGGAGGTTTTGAGTCATTTTTCTTATTTAATTAGCTATCACTAGAGAACAGGTTCTAACACTAATAGCACATCACTAGAGGTTTTTAGTTTTTGAATATGATGATCTACATATTTCAAAAACTCTATACTCATGTCTCTCGATGGGTCATGGGTAAGTTTACGGACTTACAACTCTAACAATAGGGAACCGAATACCCGTGCTGGACAGAGAGCAGATAGGCCATTGTGTAGTATTGCACTAAAAACAAAAATAAAACCCATACTCAAAGTTACAGCTCAAAACCATGACATACTTCAGTAGTAATGACGTTTTTAGAACTACATCTACATCCTTAACTAATTTTTAAGGCAACAGTATACAATTTTAGTATGGGAATTGTTGACCACTGTTAGATTTTACTTTTCGCTAGTTTTCCAAACTGTATAACAGCTCCTTTTATAGTACAGCATTATTTAATTAGTTTTAATTCTGATCTATGTTCGCAACTTGCTTTGATAAAAAGTTATTGATAACCACTTGTGATATTATACATCCGTTTTAATAAAAGACTTTTTAAAACTCATTCATCATGATAACTTCAGGATATTTTTCTTATTGTTGTTGAACTTAATTTTCAACAGTACACAAAAAGTTTTATGGACTTCTTTAAAACTTTACATTTATATCCGTTTAGCAGGTAAGTACTATAAAAAGAGTAATCAATAAACAATTCGGAGAAAAATCTATCGCGGAAAGGCCATCATATTGGTTTCTCATGCGTTCGTGTGCTAGTTTAAGCCTAACGAGGCTATTCTTTACGTTAAATATCCTTATGTTGGCATTTCAAATGTAATAGGTGGTATAATTACATACGTTATGTACTATTTCCACCGAATAATATTCGAGTCCGCATTGATCCACATTTACTATCTACATTTTTGTATCCGCTATTCGTTTATATGTTGTTGTTGTTTTTGCTATAAAACGGTTATTTTTAACGTACTTTGTTGCTCTAACATTAATTCATTGTTTGTAATTTTTTATCAGAACTAGTTCATAAAAATTATCTTAAGCATTACGAATATTTTTAGTTTGAAATAATGAGTTTACAAAGTCGCCACCATTTCTAGTAAAAGAAACAAAAGATAATACTTGTTTGGAATTTGAGAGAAAATTATGGAAGATAAATATTAAACTAATACATAATGTGTAATGTGTAGCTTTCGTAAAAATTAAGGATATATCTTTTATGAAAATTGAAGGATATTAGGAATGATTAAATAAATGAATAATGTAAGACCAGTAGCTTTGTACAATTTATTTACAAAAATGTCTTATTTAATTGACGTGTTTTAACGTTATATTCTTTTAAAGGGGAATTATAATATGTGTAACCTACCCCCCAATCAATGTACTAATTCTATATATAAATAACTGTTCGCGAAATTTTCCATTAATACATGAGTGAAAAACGATGTATATTTATCAATTAGACTTAACATTATTGAAGGCAAAGATCTGGAGACTTTAACGTTTTTTTCAAAATCATTTTTGTTTTATAACATTATTTTAATTTCGCCAAAATGTCATCTCATATTGCCACCTCGTTTTGTTACTGTTACTAATTTATCTACAATTTAATTCCAATAATTTAGGGCAATGTTTACGCCGCTGCGGTGGATTCAGTATGATGCCATTGTCGTGGTACGTCATTCTGCCCATTTGCCACTTGAAATAATGTATTAATAACGTTATGATGAAAGTAATGGCTTAAATTCCGGAGACATGTGCTTGAGATTTTCCTTCAATCTTCCATAAATAAATACACAAAATTTAAAATTATATTCCGCAGCACATTTGTCCAAATACACACACACAATGAAATAAAATATTCTTGAGACCAATGAAATTAATTACATATTGGAGAAAACATTTTATACTATTTCTGTATATTAAAATTTTTTACCTCCTTACATTCTGTTCTAATAAATCTGATTTTTCCCATTACATTTAAATCAGTCAATTTATAAAACTATATTTGACTTTACTTTCATTCGTATATTCGTTATTAGTTGTAATTTTTTGGTCATTTTTGATCACAGTATACGTAATTGTAGTTTGTTATAAACAGCTGCTGTACAGAAATCCAAACTGATGAAAGAAAAATCAAATAAACTCAAAGCGTTAAGTTTAATACAAGGCCAAAGTGATGTACTTAAAATTTCGTATACTACAAAATTACACTCTTTTAGCCATTACACTTTACGCATTTTAGCTTCAAATTCTAAGCATTACACCTTTACAAGCTGTCTCTCTCTGGCTTAAATGTCATTATGTTAAAATAACTTACAATATCGAATTCCCATTCATTGGATGACGGACTTGTGTACTGTTCCACATGACTAACATGAAAGCGAAGATTGTTTTTCAAATCAGCGAAACATTTTGAAAAATCAGCGATAGCTCGAAAGAAGGCGACAAGTTTCAAAAAAATTTTAAAAACAAGTTTACCCAGAGAAATTGCTGTAGAGAGTTTTATATTTTTGTCCATCGAAATAACAAGTGTTTAAGGTTTCGAATAGTTGAAGATTTTGTTACAAACATATAGTTTTAATATACGGGATACACATTCTCTGCTGTTTTGGTCAAAACAAAATTAGCCTTTTTTATTCAAATAACACATTACACATTAATTTTTGCGTAGTACCTAAGGGGAATCGTCGTCGTATGGTATTCACATAAGTATATTTGCAAATCTCAGTGTTTCCAGTTCTCATAATAATTGAAAAAATACGTTAGCATTTTATGGACTATATGCAATAAAATTTTAACGCATTTTTTTTCCCTTTTTCATATTCATTGCAAACAAGCAATAATCACTCACGAGAAGTATAATTCAGCTTATTAGCATATTTTTTGCTGGTAGGCAGTTCTCCGTTATTTGATGATAGACGCAGTAGTTATTTCATAATTGGAGTAGTTAAAGATTTTCAGAATAAAGATGTTAAATTTTTTCAAAAATTGAAATGCAGGTGAATAAAAAAGGCAAGTAGATCAATGAAAGCGAGTTGAACTTAAGGTAAGTTTGTCTTATAGCATAGCCATATTGGGCTATCTGCTGTGTGTCCCCGCAAGGAATCGAACTCTGGGCTTAAGCTTTCTAATTTCGTAGACTCACCGCTGTCCTACTGGAATGCCTTAAAGTAAGAGCGTCGCGTTTTTCGCATATCTGGAGTAATGTTTTGTTAATTGAAATAATTTAGTCAAAGTTCTTTTTTAAGCTTTGTTTTTTGTTTGTAACTAAGCACAAAGCTACACAATGGGCTATCTGTGCTCTGCCCACCACGGGTATCGAAACCCGGATTTTAGCGTTGTAAGTCCGCAGACATACCGCTGTGCCACTGGGGGGGGGGGGGCTTTTTTAAGTTATGGTTGTCTTAAGTCATCCTTACGTTTAACTGACAAAAGAAAAATTAAACGGGATATATTAATAAAACAGGAATTACAGCATTAGATTTCCCAAATGTGTGAAGTAAGAGGGATCTTCGTAAAGGATTTAACACTTCTGGTTGCTCCACAGTGGCACAGCGGTATGTCTGCGGGCTAACAACGCTAGAAACTGGGTTTATATACCCGTGGTGGCAGAGCACAAATAGCCTATTGTGCAGCTTTGTGGTTAACTACAAACAAAGAAACACTTCTGATTAAAACAATATGTATTTACTGTCCTATACGTGCCAAAGCACTACAATCGAATTAACGTTAAGTCATTTGATAAAAAAGAAATAAGGTAAAAGAAACTTGAAGGTGATAATTTGATCTTTTCCCTCATCAAATATTAATATGCCTATTACAAATATTATGTGGCTGTAATGTTCGTTCATTGAGACAAGTTCGTTTTTCAGTACGATAAACTTTCAAGGATCAGTACTGATGCCTTTAACAATTATTTTTTTCAAAAGTGATTGTTGTTTAACGCATTCAATAGTGTACAGCGTGGGGAATCGAACCCCGGATTTTAGCGTTGTAATTATGGAAACCCACCGGGGAACTTCTCGTAAATAGTTTTGGTTTCAATAAAATGCTGTTCTAACTCTGTATCTACAGAGTCACTTTCATTTGAAACTCTCAAACTTTGTCGTACCTTTAGGGCGTGTCAGGCTGAACTGAAATATTTGAATAGGCTTAAGTAATAGACAATTATCACATGGCTTCACTGTACAAAATATTTTGATTTGTCATGTTTTCTCTTGCTATTACACTTGCTATTATTTATTCGATATTTGTATGTAGTTGTTTTTTATCTCCCGGACACTCATATTTGTATATTTTCAACCTTATAGCTACAACGTTGTTATTCTGATTCTTACCTACGTGCTACCAATCACTTCGATGACCTACACATACTTCCGAGTAGGCCGAGAGTTGTGGGGAAGCCAAAGCATAGGGGAATGTACCGACAAGCAGTTGGAAGCTGTCAAATCAAAGCGAAAGGTTAGTTTCAAATTAATAATGGAATATTAAAATTTGTAAAAAAAAAACAGTGTTCGATGAAACAGCAAGCAACCTAGTTTAAATGAACCTCGACACAGTGTGTGTACAAGCAAAACAATACGAAATGATAAGGTTTAAAATGAATTTTAAACATAAAAATGTAATTATGATACTGTGTCAAATAGATGAATAGCTTTATAAAGAAGAATGCCTCATCACCCTCCAACAGACAGTGTACTCACACCAGTAAAATTTACTGGCTCTTCAAATAGGTACTTCGATTCAGTTTTGACCTCAAAAATATTTTGAAGTTTAAAATTTTATAACATGACATCATGACATCCATATTCTTGGAGACTCCAAACCACGACATATTCGCTTTGAGTAACAGGATTTATAAGGGGTAATTTTCAAGCATAGTGTTAACGTCATCAATATTTGACAAATGTAATGATATTCTAAATATATCAGTAAAAACTGTTTTGTATGCCGAAAAGCTTGTTGTAGTAGAAATGAATTAGAATAGAAAGTTACAAAAAGATCATACTGTTAAAAATTTTCCACATGTATGAACATTACTACGAGATGGGTGTTAATTTTATTGGCCTTTCGTGGCGCTCCCCAGTGGTACAGCGGTATGTCTGCGGACTTACAACGTAGAATTCGAGTTTCGATACCTGTGGTGGGCAGAGTACAGATAGCCCATTGTGTAGCTTTGTGTTTAATTACAAACAAACAAACAAACCTTTCGTGGCCTGGTGGTTAGGGCGCTCGACTCACAATCTGCGGGTCGCGGGTTCGAATCTCCGTCTCTGAACATGCATACCTTTCAGTTGTGTGGGCCTTGTAATATCAATTCCACTATTCGTTGGTAATAAAGTAGCCCAAGAGTTGGCGGTGGGTGTTGTTAATTAGCTACCTATCACCGCTAAATTAGAGATGGCTAGCATAGATATTCATCGAGTAACTTTGCACGAAATTCAAATCAATCGAAGTATGTTTGTTGTAAAAGTCATAATTCTAGGTTTTGATGTTTATTTTGCCTACCATTTTTCAAAAGCAATATTGAAGCACAATGGAAAAATAATACTGTTAAGATAACACGCACGTCTATTAGACTGTATATATACAAGAGTGAGTTAATCATCACGTTATTACGTGAGCTATATGCACATTTTCTGGGCCAACGCTCAATATTTCGCAAGTTTGAATTGTTAAAAAATGATGGATCACATATTTATTTTCCAAGACATATCCCGCATCTAATCTTGATCTTATTATAATTCATAATAAATTCACAGTAATAGTAGAAATGATAAAAATGTAACTAAAAGTTCCGTGAATTTATATTATGCAGTTGATACTATTATGCTAAGGGCAAAGCGTAAAATACGATTTCAATATTTTATTATTTTACATTATAAACAACTTCCATTTAATAGACCAGTAGCTGATTTTAATATCTTCTTACAGTTCCCCAACCAATGCTGCAAATTCTTAAAGCAAGTGTAATCCCGAATTTAGGACTATGTTGCTGTTGTTGTTTTTTGTTTTGTTTTTTTTTGTTAAGTATGGGCGAAACATAATAATCAGTTCTACAAATTATATATATTTTCGGGCTTCTTTCACATAAGAACATGAGACAAGTTCGAAAGTCTCTAAGTTATAGTTATAATAGCAGAGACCCGCAGAACATTTGCGGTCAAATTACTATCTTTATTGCAACAGTGCTTCTTTAAATACAGAGTTTCTAGAACAATGCGAAAACATTCTAATTGCAGACACTGAAATATATGGTCCGGCAATCTGCGGGTTCGAATCCCCGTCACACCAAACATGCTCACCTTTTCAGCCGTGGGGACCTTCTAATGTTACAGTCAATCCCATTTTTCGTTGGTAAAAGAGTAGCCCAGGAGTTAACGGTGGGTGGTGATGACTAGCTACCTTCCCTCTAGTCTTTCACTGCTAAATTAGGGGAGGCTAGCGCAGATAGCCCTCGTGTAGCTTTGCGCGAAATTCAAAACAACCAACCAACCGAAATATATAACTCCACTTGCCTTAGGCCTAACATTAGTTAAATCTTTATTAAGTATGGATTATATTCAATAAAGAGATAAGTTAACGTTGTAACTTGTGTACGTTTTTTGCTTTAGTGTAGTTAGGGCTAAACTTTATCGTGCTTAATATTATCAATAAATAAATCTATAATTTTATTCTACAACCTAGCATTAGACCATTAAAAAAAAATTAAATGTTCTTGCAAAATATCTACTAGTACTAAAGTATATTAACATTCACATTTTGTTGAAATGAATGCGTGCGCATATAGATAGTAAGATGCGCGAGCATTTTCAGGACAGACTAAAACTGGGTATTGTTGTAATAGATTTCACGTTATGATTCTAAAAGCAGTCTTTGTATCAGATCTGTTTGAACCTGTTTCCAATGGCTCAGCGAGAAATCTGAAGGCTTATAACGCTAAAAACCGAACTTCAATACCCGTGGTGAGACGACTTTATGCTTAACAACTAACAAACTGTTTAAACTGTTATTGCATTAGTTATACAGTGAGAAAACGAATAGTCATAATAATCCTAAAAGATATAACAGCAAAACTTACTACTTTAAAATACGCTCTATCGTGAAACATATTTCTAATTTCTATTACTGCTCAGTCATTTATAGTTTCATAGTTCTAATCTCAGGATCATATTTTCTATTACTGCTCAGTCATTTATAGTTTCATAGTT